GTGTTCTCATCAGAAGAAGCTGCCGAAGCAGCATGAGCGGCACCCGGTGGAGGCGCCTGAGGAGGCTCCTGTGCGATCCCAGATGGATCGTCCGATGGAGGCAGGTCTCCCTGCTGGATGGAGCTCGGCGCAAATGGCGCTTGTGCCGATGGTGATGATGATTCAGACTCGTCAGGATCGAAGTCAACCTCTTCCTCACCATTCACGTCCATCATGAGGATGGTGACGTCATCCTCATCTAACCCGCAACCATCGCCTTCTACTTCTTCTGATGTCGAACTACCGATGATGATGGCCATTGGCGTATCTGGTACAGGCAGGATTCCCTGCATAGCCGGCGTCTGCGCGTCGCTCGGCTGCCCCGGGGTAGGAGGCGCTGTTGTCGGCCCGGGCGCGTTGCCGAGCACAGGCTGCCCGGCAATGTTGCGCATGGCCGTATGGTTTGGCCACATTCCCACCGCCTGGAGACCCCATCCTGGCGGGGGAAGATCATGGCCGCGCATAGCAATAGCCATTTCTAGAGCATTACGCCATCTACCACGGGAGTATATCAAGTGTCTCTGCACGTCCTGAGGATGCACGCTGTCAATGAGAGTCAGAGCTGCCAACGACAGCTCTGAGCTACCACAAGCGTCAGTATCCTGCATTATCATAATGTCAGCTTCGATATGTTCTTGACTCTCAGGATAACCAGTAATAAGTATCTCGTGCATCCTCATGAGGGTCTGCAAAAGGGTGCGTGGTCCATATTCGCCTGGAGCAAGCGAACCAGGAGGTATAAACGGAGTATCTGGTTCGCCTGCAATGAAGGCCTGAACAAATGCCTGAGACTCCATTTCGATTAAGTCTTCAATGGTCTGGGGATATTCTCCCATCAAAGAAGGCCTGTTTCCAGGCGGGATTTCGGGCGGAGGTTCGAGGTGTCGTTGAACCTCGGAAGGCGAAGCCTCTATAGTGGTGTCCTCGTCGCTACTCTCGTAGGCCATGATGTTGCCTGGGTTCCCGAACATCCAGTCGAAGAAGGATAAAGGGTAATTTCCCAGCGTCCCGTGTTCCACGGGAGTGAGCTCGTTGTTGCCCTCAACGAACCTGCGAACGTACTCGAGGTAGTACGCGTACAATCCATGACCATACGCCTCGAGCTCGTCGGCGTTGTCCATGCCAACAACCCAGGTGAAAAATATCTGCTCCATAGCCTCAAAGTCCTGGAGGCTCAGATACTCAATGCATGGTTCACTTGAGCCAAATTGGACTTCGGTCGACCTGCCCTTTCAATTTCCCTTCACTGGACAATCTCGCACAAGATGATCGGTACTACCACATTCATGGCATTTAAGAACCTGGCCGTCTCTACCTCGCGGGCATCCCCGCCTACCTTTGCCTTTTCCTGAGGTCTCTCCACGGCCTTTACCACGGCCCTTTCCCCCAAAGAATATCTCATCATGTTGTTCATCTGAGAGCCTCTGGAGAAATTCCGCGATGCCTCGTCCGTTCAACCTCCGACGACCTCGCTTACCTTTACCTTTTCCCTTAAAACTCCTCCGTCTCCTCCTTCTAACACGACGCGCTGGTTTTCGTGTGAACCTCCTCCACCTTCGTTTGGCCTGTTGTAATAACCAGAACAAATGTTCAGCACGCTGATTGTCGTTATCCATATTCATGATATCTGACCAATCTAAAGCTTCAACACCATCTGATGATATAGTGTCTGTATCGGTGCCGGAGTCGAAATCCTCGTCTCCCAAGTAGGTGGATACACCGTCGGTTAGGGGGTTTGATTCCCCCCATAAAGAACGGTGTGGTTGTGGTTCTCTAGAAGGAGGGCTGGTTGCCCAGCTTGGTTGGGATCGATCCCCTGCTAATAAAGCAGTGGATTATCCAGGATCGTCGGCCCATATACTTCAGGGCCCGTTTCCAGGCTGGGCTTCAGTAGTCAAGGTCGTGCAGAAAATTCCACTACCAGATCCCCTTCCCCTTCCAAATACAGATCCTATGTTACCAGGAGACCGTTCAGATAGGTGGCCTATCGAACGCATCCTCTCCAGCAACTCATCATACTGTTGTTGTGTTCGGGGCATTTGGTGATTGAGTGGCTGTAAGAGTTGCATGGCTCGCTGGTTGCCGACGCCTAAGGCGCGGAATAGGATAGTGGTTAGCAGTTGGAAGTTGGGAAGGTCGAATCCCGCCGTGTCAAGTCGGGCCATTTCGAATCGGGTAAGGGTGACATCGATTCGTTCCCCGTGAGGCACGTGGAAGTCGATGAGTTGTGTGCCGGAAGTGAGCTGTCGCTCATCTTCCAGGCGTTCGAACTTCATGCTTAGGAGGAACATGATGTAGGTCACTGGGTCGGTGTGGACCCCATCGATGTCAGCACCATAGTTTATAATGTCAGGCGGTACCCTCATGGCGAGTGTCCTCGCTAGGCCACCTAGGCCGCGTTGTATTGCGGCCGCTTGGGCCTGTGGCGTCATACGTCCGCTTGTAACGTTGAGCCATGCGTTGACCTCGTAAATGTACTCGCGAAAAGGTACATTACCTTGAGGGTCCCAATATGGGCCATGTGTTTGCCCATCGGTGCTGTTTTCTCCACGACGCATGTGTCCGATTGCTGCCCCCAGCGCGAACCATATAATAGCGAAAACGACTAGCCCGAAAATGTGTAGAGAAGGACGGTTATTATGCGCGTTGCCGCGCTGGGGTAGCGCCTTGTCGAGTCTTCGAGGCGCTCTATCTGGCGGGTCTCCCCGCCTCTGCTTCAAATATTGCGCTGTAAGCTCGTTGCCGAGCGGTTGGTGGTAACGCAATGATGAAGCGTATATGGTACCAATCTGGTCGTCTAGACGTCGTACCTCTCGTGTTGCTTCTTGCTCTTGAATAGATCCTCGTAAACGTACTGGGAGTGGTGGCGCAGGGTGGTAGGTGGTCACGAAGATCGTGCCGAAGAATATGAGGCTAAGAAGAGCAAGAGCTGACCACACGAGAGTGCGGCCAGCTCCGCTACCAAGTCGAAAGTGAGCCTGGTAACTCAAATAGCATCCGATTCCATGATAGACATCGGATGGCAAATAGCGTCCATCGCTCTGCTGTGATAGTTCAGTATGAGGAATGGGCGGATAAGATAGGAAAAGATCGATGTATCGGTCTTTCCAGCACATAGCGAACACTCGCGGTGTCCGGGCAAATAGGGCGCGCGTGCCTTGGGCCAAAGGCAACGGCGCGCGCGAGCTATGCTCCCGATACTATAACATATCCCAAAGACCTACCCTTAAAGTTGGTCGGTGTCTCTTCGACTGCCTTTTGGAACAATACCTGGAGGAATATTGCTGGAGAGCACCCATGGGGCTCGAAAGCAGCGAAAATCAAAGACATCGTTCTTGGTCTTCCAGTTGATAGTCCGAACATCCCTGAAAACACCAGACAATCCAGCTGAAAGCGCCAGAGAGCCCGCGACAAAATCTGAAGCCCGTGTCCTCGACATCAGGCGTCGTGCAAAGATCACAACGTCATGTGCATGATCAAGGCTGATGACTGAGTAGAAACCGCTAATTACTCCGCGTCCCTCTCCTGGGGTGCGTTCTGACCAGGATGTCGAAACGAGTCAAGCCGTGGCGACGATGAAAGGGTAGAGGTGTCGGTGCCTCTTCCTCCTCTGAGCTAGAGCTCCCGGACACATCCCTGCCCGTGCTGTGCGAACGGGATCGACCTCTTTCAAGGCCCCAAGGCCCAAAATGGGGCAGCAGCAGCCGTCGCGACCTTGCGCGCGACGCCTGGACGGCCACACCACGGCACGAGGCTTCGCAGAACGCCGAGGCACCCGCGCCGCCGTTTGGATGCTCGCGCTGAGCTCTGGCTGCCGGGAGAGCTCCCATAGCCCCCGAAATCCGAAAACGCTGGTGAGCCGTCCGAGGACTGCCGACTTCAGGCTGGCAGGACTACGTCGGAGCTTCGGTCGGGCGCTCGCCGGCTTCTGAGAGAGTACCTCCACCTGCCTCCCCCCCGCCCCGCCCTCCGTAAAAAGGCTGCCAGGGGCGCCAAAGAACGCCCGAAAGCCGCCAGCAACCCTGATCGGTCCTACGTAACTGGAAGTACGGCATCCCCAGTCCTCGACGTTGTGGGACTTTCCGCTGGTCCAAATGTCCCCCCACAACCCCTCCGCGGGGTGTATCCCTGAGTTTCCCTTATTTTCTACGCGGCCCCAGAGTTTACGGGGGAGGGAAGATCGGGGATCGGAGGAGAGGAATCGCCTGCGACCCGAGGGGGACAGGGCCACGATGGTCGGGAGGGATGAAGAGCGTCAATGGCACGCGCGTCGTCGTACAACACCTGTGCACGTGCTCGATCGCTTGATGCACGGAGCCCTGACACGTTTTCAACAACAATCGCACTCTGGTGGAGTCGTCCGACCCTACGGCGGAAGGCTACAATCAACCCGTATCGTACGGATGCGCGGTAAGGATGCAATGGCCTTGAAGACCCATGTGAACGTTTTTCGAACGAGGTTAGCCAGCGAAAGTGGCCAAGGATGGGCCGAAGGGGCAAGGATGAAAGGATACCCTTGGTAAAATTGCCCCCATCCTTCCATGCGGGTTGACTGTACGGAGTGACCGGCTCATGGGGGTAAACATCGAGCTGGAATCGGCGATGCATCGCCGACAGGTCGGCGATAGGCTCCCGATAGCGAAACCGCACGTTCCTGAGCGGGGTGGGCTATCGGTCCCCTGTCGGCGGTCAATGGGCGATTGAAGGTCGATGCGTCCCCCCCTCAACCTATCCCCCCTGACGTTACCCTTGGAGTTCGGGTCATAACTCTGCTCTCCGGCGGCCGTTCGGGACGACCGGGACACCCCCGGAACGCTCTTGGCTGGAGAGCATCCCGAGCCTGAAAAGACGCCGAGAGCCGACGAAAACAGCTGAGAACCTCGAACCTCGAACCCGCACCTGGAAAACTTCCCCCACTGGCGTTGCCCCTGACACCAGCGTGACATTGACCGTGCTCCTGCCCTCCGAGATAGGCCGCCCGCCGCGGCCGCGGCCGCGACGTCGGCGATCAGCGCCCGCTTGGTGCCCCGCGCCAGCGTGGGCCCTGGCGCGGGCGCCGCCGCGCCTTGCTCGGGGCCTGCCTCGGCGGCCGCCATCCAGCGGCTGCCCTGCCTGCGCGTTCGCCGCGCCCCGTGGAGGCGCTCGCGCGCAGAGGGGCCAACATGGCTGCGGGGTCGGAGGCTCGCGCCGCAATGCATCGCCGATGCATCAGTGATGCATCAGAGACTTCGGCGATGCATCGGTAACGTCGGCGCGCCGAAAATCGGGCCACGCATCGAGTCGCATCGCCGATGCATCGGCGTTGCGGCGCAACCCATCGACCCCATCTACTCGGACCCCATCAGGGAAGCCTGAAGACATTGACGTCGCATTTGTTCTGCGCCGGGCGTTTTCGCCTCGAACTGGGGCCCCCAGAGACCTCGCAGAGCGATCGGGCTCAAGAAGCGCCGCAGACAGACAGGGTCCTCTAGGGCTGGCGTTGGCTGGCGTGTCGCCGCGGCCGCGCTACCGCGCCCAGAACGGTCAGCTAGTCGAGCGCGCACGACGCGGCCGCGGTGGCAATGACCGCTGGGGATTTTCCAGCGCGTGACACAGCCCGCGCTGACGCGCGGGCACTTCACTGCGAGTCGGTGACTTGGGCGGGCGCGGTATCATGGCGACGTCGACAACGGTAGACACGGTGATGGTGGCACTGATGATGGTGACGATAATGACGGTGACAGAGGGAAGGCCAACGACGACGCCGATGATGATCACGCCGATGACGACGCTCGTGTCCAAGTGTCGATGATGAACGTTTTGGGAGGATTTCGACATGTTCGCGCGGCCGACGGGCGCGAGCGGCCGACATGGAAATGTTTGGCAAGGATCGTGCCCCCCCCCCCCATCAACCGCGCAAGGGCGTTCAAATGATTTCGACACGCGCGCGAGAGGCCCGCTTTGTCGCATGTGCTGTTTTTTTGGGAGGGGGGAGCGATGGCTGCCCAAGGAATCAGCAAGGGCGCGCGCATACCATTTCTCGAAAACTGATGTTGCAAGACCATGTGTTGCTGATCTGTTTTCGGGACGCTCGATTTTGAAATCCCCGCGAAACCTCGAAACTGTGTGAAGGAAATCGGCATACGTGCGCGACGACGCGCGCATGTATTTCGTCCCGTTCCTCCCACATGTTGCAACGGGTTCTTGGAACCGGATGGTTTGTGATAAACGAAAGTGCGCACATAGTGCTTCTGTTGGAGACAACGATTGGGGATGGGGTCGATCCCCGTCTGGCTGGGATGGTAGGAACTTATTTCTGGAATGAACGATGGGGAATCGCCAAATGTAAATTGCACATATCCAGAACGCGGGGATCATCCCCGGGGGGTGGGGGGGAGATCCGAAGTACGTTTTTTTCTCCAAAAACTGATCACCTTGCCGAACTTGAACTTGACAACCCCTCTGCTCGCCCAATTATCCCATCCACCCGCCCGCAACTTGGCTTGCAAAACTCATGCGGAGAGAATGGCGATGACTGCTTGGCGCTGGCTGGCGCGTCGCTGCGGCCGCTCTGGCGCGCCCAGGCTCGCGCGCAGCGTGGCCAGCTAGTCTGGCGCGAACGAAGCGACCGCGGTGGCGCTGGCCACTGGGACTTCCCAGCGCCTCTCGCTGGCCACACTGACGCGCGGGCACATCAGCGCGAATCGGTGACTCGGGTGGGCGCGGTACCATCGCTGACCAGGGCAGACGCGATGATGATATTATCGATGACGGTGGCGATGATGGCGATGACAAGGAGGATGCCAACGACGGCGCCGATGCTGATCACGTGTCGGTCATGCAAATTTCGGAAGGATTTCGGCATGCACGCGCAGCCGACGGGCACGAGTTGTCCACATTGTATTATTTGCCAGGGGTCGTGCCCCCAATCAAGCGCGCAAGGGAGATTGAATGGTGATGACATGCGAGCGCGGGGGGCCCGCATGGTCGCAACTGATGAAAACTCAAACAGCGAAAGACTCCCGCGTGAACTCGCAAGAGCACGCGCGCTGACTTCTGTTTGGAAGAACAATGTTGCGAAACAGTTGAATTTCCCATATGTTGTCGGGAACCTCGGTCTTGAAAGGGTTTCGACATGCGCACGCGTCGACGGATTTTTGACAATTGAAGATGTTGATAAACGAATACGCACGCATAGTTTCATTTGACGAGGATGAGAAGGGGGTACCAGGTCAACCCGTATAATCAGGATGCGCGGTAAGGATGCAAGGGCCTTGGAGGGCCACGTTAGCGTTTTTTGGACGAGGTTGGCCAACGAAAGGTGCCAAGGATGGGCCGAAGGGACAACGATGTAAGGGCACCCTTGGGAACGTTGCCCATCCTGACTATGCGGGTCGATTGTAATTTATGTCGTGCGAGCTGCGTGGCGCAATCCATGTTAAGCAAATATGTGGGGCACGCAATCTGGTGCAACCTTTCTAATGTAAACAATGTGGTGCAAGTCGATGTGGTCGGCGGCGACGGGCGGCTACAAGCGCGGCGACCGGCAAACAGGCCCAGAAGCGGCGGCGACGGTCGGCGGCGACGGGCGGCGGCGACGGGCGGCAACAGGCGGCCACAAGCGCGGCGACCGACAAACGAGACCAGACGACGGGCGGCGACGAGGCGGCGACGGGCGGCGGCGACGGCGACAACAAGGCGGCGGATCTGACAAACGAGCTCGGACGACGGGCGACGACGAGGCGACAGCGGGGCGGCGTCGGCGGCAACAAGGTGGCTGACCCGACAAACGAGCCCAGTTCCTTAGAAGACACATAAGAAACCCTAAACGCAAGCTCTGCTTCGGCAGTGCAAGTATGTGTGACATATTGTAGTCCCACGTCAACCTTGGTCCGCCCCCCCTCCGCCATCGCAACCACTATATATATATATAGATATATATTTGTATATATATATACATATATGTATACAGATGTGTACATGTTTGTATGTGTTGCGTTGCGCGTGTGTTGATATCGCAAGCACATGTTCTTACGACCCCTATATCAGGAAAACAACGTGCGCATGTTTGACCAACCAGACTACGTGTTGGTCGCCAGCGTTTGTCAACACAGGGCTTGCCTGCCCTTCTGCACTCTTGTTACAGAAATACGAAAACCATCGACAACCGACACACTCGTGCAACATCCTACGAACTAAAACGATAAAGATGTCATCCTTATGAAGTGGAGACGCAGCTATGTGCTCAAAGAGAGCTTGCCATATATCTCGCTGCCTCTCGCCATCCTGATGGGATCGAATCGCGCGAGGGCGTTCGCGCTTCTCTTGTATGTCACAAGCGGCGCGCGCACTTCAGGAGCCCCTGCATCGCAAAGCCAACGGATGCCCCCGGACGCCATGCAACATGGAAGCGTGCTGGCACGATTTGGCCCCACGCGTTGGTGTTGCAAGATGGATCCCACACTTCAACGCCCGATCCGACTCGACCCGCCCGCTAGGGTCTGGCCGCCCGGTCCGTCCGTGAGTATCTGCCCGCCCATTCCGCTGGTAAGGGCCCGACCGCCCGACCTGATTGGCACGAGCTGTGGTCCCGCACGGTGAAAGGCTCCACGCACCAAGTGTGCCCTTTGGGATGTGCCAACATGCTCACGTCAATTGCGATTCTAGGAATTTGCAAACGAATCGCGCGCGGGATCCGCCGACCCCGTCCCCCTTTCCCACTTCCCTCGGGTCCCAAATGCCGCTGGACGGGGTCTTTGTGCTCGACAACGCACCTCTGGGGCCCTCGGACCCTCCAAACCTTATAAGACATCAAGGGCTTCAACATGCCGGAAAAGGCCTGAGTAACATCAAATAGTGTTTCATAACGGCCCAAGGGGCCGTAAGCCCCAAGCGGGCCCAAAGACGCAACAATCAAAGATGCACCATAATGCGTAATGAAATTGTTTCCAAGCCCAAGACGGCCCGAGAGGCCAGCCAGACTGGCCCAAGACGGCCCAACAGGCCCCAGCCTGTACACAGCCCACGAGGCATCCAAGACTGTTAACGAGTCCCTCGAGAGGGCCCGAAGAAAAAGAAGGACCCAAGAGAGGCACAGAAGATGAACTCGTAGGGTGCCCAGAATCTTTGTGTGCCCCAGAAACGGCAGGGCCCTTTTTTCACCGTTTCCGAAAAAATGTCCCTTGAAAATGGAAACGGCAAAAAAACGGCGACCGGAAACGACAAAAAAACGGCTCCAGGATTGGAACCGGAGCCGGAACCGGTCAAAAAACGGCGACGGAACCGGTAAAAAAACGGCGTCGGAACCGGCAAAAAAACGGCAAAACGGAACCGGTAACAAAAACGGCCCTGTCGTTTCCAGGGCCCACTAAGCCCAGAAACCCTCCCCCACAAGATGGCCTCCAATACCCCCAACACACCCCCAAGAGGCCCCCGAGGATCCCCCAGCGGGCCTGATGACCCTCCAAAGCCCCCAGGGGCCTTGAAAAGGCTTCCAAGAGGCAGCCCCCGTGGCCATCAAGAGGCCTCCAAGAGGCACCGACTAAGACTCGTAACTCGTAGCAGACGCGGAGGACGAGAAGAGAGAATCAGCAGCAAAGCGACTACGCGCACGCAGCACGACGTGAAGCGGCAAACGTCATAGGCACATCCTGGAACCTCGATCCTCGAATCTCGATCTTCGACGACGACGCCGGCCTCGAGACCTCTCCTTTGTTGTTTCCTGGCTCGTATCTCGAAGAGCATCTGACCGCCGCTGCGAGAACCCCACAAGGCCCTGCAAGGGCGAAACCCCAGACGACGACGACGGCGGCGGCGACGACGGTGGCGGCGACGATGGCGGCGGCGGCGGTGGCGGCGAGGAGGCCTTGGCCTGACGACGCAGCGCCACGAGCTTGCGGGTGTGCGAGGCGTACTCCTGCTGGAGCCGCTGGGGAGGAAGACGGGGCGGGACGGGGCACCACTTTCGGGTGCGCCTAAGGCGGGGGCCAGGAGTAGCGGAACAACAAACGAAACAAACAGAACCGTCCAGAGGTCTGGCGCGCGGAGCGCGACAGGGGCGGCTCTGGAGACGCCGCCAGCGAACGGCAATGGGCGAAGGTGGACATCAAAAAGGGGATGCTTCTGTCGTCCGCTGACCCTCGAAAGAAAAGGAGGGGTGGCGCATCATGGCCCGAGGCGCGTGCGCGGACGAGGGGGGGGGGCGTGGCAGGGAGCGGAGACGCCCGCACCTGGTGCCCACCGCCCCCGTCGCCGCCCCCGAGAAGCGGTGGGGCGGGTGGCAATTGGGGGGGGACCTGAATGAGGGTGAAGAGAAGGGCCCCTCTCGGGACCCCTCTTCTCCCCCCCCCCCTCCAATACCACCAACCCAAGCGCGGGCCCTGGATCCTGGGGAGTTTCTTCTGGACCATCGGTCCAGCCTTGAGCCCTGAGCCCTGACTCGACCGCACCAGGGCCCGTGGAGTGACCTGGGGCCAGGAGAAGCGAACAACAAAATCAGGGCACACTTCCCTCGGGACCCATCTTGATAAGCAACAAACGTACACGTAATCCTCTGGGGGGAGGACCTAAGTGAGGATGGTCAAAACCATCAGGCATAGGAGCTCATGTTAGGCAATGAAACAGACGAAACCACCCATATGTTTAGGAACATCCCTAAACACTTATTCGGGTGAGGGGTTGTAGTATGCTTAATCGCATCTGCTACGTCCGAGTAAGGGATCGACTGCATAGCATATTGATATACCCCAAAGCTGCTGTTCTTGTCGAGCCCATGAAGAATACGGGAAACATGCTCGTCGATCCAAGAACATTCTACGCATGCGACAGCATGGAGAGAGCGCGCCCGCAGGGCCCGAGCAAAGGGGAGGGGGGGCTAGGCTTAAGCTACCCCCCCCCTCCCTTGAGCCGCCCTTGTTGGAAGCACCCCCCCCCCTCCCCCCTTTTTTTTGCAAGGGGGGGAGCTTACAGCTACCCCCCCCCCTCCCCCCTTGGGCCCTCCCCGGAAGTTACCCCCCCCTCCCCCCCTTTCCAAAGGGGGGGGGGGTGCTTAAGCAACCCCCCCTCCCTTGGCGCTGCCCTGCTGGAAGCTACCCCCCCCCTCCCCCCTTTCGTGCAAAGGGGGGGGGGCCTGGAAGCTACCCCACCTCCCCCCCCCCCCTTGGCCGCCCCGGAAGCTACCCCCCCCCTACCCCCCTTTCCAAAGGGAGGGGGGTGCTTAAGCTACCCCCCCCCTCCCTTGGAGACGCCTGCTGGAAGCTCCCCCCCCCTCCCCCCCTTTGTGCCAAAGGGGGGGGGGGGCTTGGAAGCCCCCCCCCCCCTTCCCCCCTTTGGCCGCCCAGCCCCCGGAGCCTCCGCCCTCCCTTTCGCCGACGATCCAAAATGAACAATCCACGATCGAGGATGGACGATCGACGATCAACGATCGACGATCGAAAATCCCAATCGAATCGCTTGCAATCGATTGCACTCCATTCCACTGCAATCCCCCTCCCCACCTCCCTCCGCTCCCTCCCCTCCCTCCACACCCTTCGTTCCATCTCCTCCCTCCCCTCCCTCTCCTCCCCTCCCTCCCTTCCGTCCTGTCCCTCCCCTGCAATCCAATCGATTGAATCGATTGCAATTCAACCGATTGCAACGCAAGTGTATCATTCAACTCGTCCCGTGCCAACGCCCGGGAACGAAACATTACCCTGGCGACGTACCCAATCCCTGCGCAAACGCGGGGCGCAAATAGTTTAGAACACTTTATAAGGGGGGCGATGACGGAGCGAAGGTTACATATGTCTGCAGACGGAATTCGGGAGACTCGCAGGAAACTTGCTTCAGGACAAGGACTAGATAAAGCTGATTAGTTGCAATCCCTGAGCAACCCTAGCCACTTCGAATGCGGGGATCTCAGATCGCAGCCCCCCAGGGATGGCGAGGTCTAATTAGGGTCCGCGCGTGGCGTCACTGTGCTGGGTCCCCCAGCAGGCCTCGAAAGTGGCGACAGTTTCACAGATCGCAGCCCCGCAGGGATGGCGAGGTCGAATTTGGGTCCGCCCGTGGCGTCACTGTGCTGGGCCCCCCAGCAGGCCTCGAAAGTGGCGACAGTTTCACAGATCGCAGCCCCCCAGGGATGGCGAGGTCTAATTTGGGTCCGCCCGTGGCGTCACTGTGCTGGGCCCCCCAGCAGGCCTCGAAAGTGGCGACAGTTTCACAGATCGCAGCCCCCCAGGGATGGCGAGGTCTATTTTGGGTCCGCCCGTGGCGTCACTGTGCTGGGCCCCCCAGCAGGCCTCGAAAGTGGCGACAGTTTCACAGATCGCAGCTCCCCAGGGATGGCGAGGTCTAATTTGGGTCCGCCCGTGGCGTCACTGTGCTGGGCCCCCCCAGCAGGCCTCGAAAGTGGCGACAGTTTCACAGATCGCAGCCCCCCAGGGATGGCGAGGTCTAATTTGGGTCCGCCCGTGGCGTCACTGTGCTGGGCCCCCCAGCAGGCCTCGAAAGTGGCGACAGTTTCACAGATCGCAGCCCCCCAGGGATGGCGAGGTCTAATTTGGGTCCGCCCGTGGCGTCACTGTGCTGGGCCCCCCAGCAGGCCTCGAAAGTGGCGACAGTTTCACAGATCGCAGCCCCCCAGGGATGGCGAGGTCTAATTTGGGTCCGCCCGTGGCGTCACTGTGCTGGGCCCCCCAGCAGGCCTCGAAAGTGGCGACAGTTTCACAGATCGCAGCCCCCCAGGGATGGCGAGGTCTAATTTGGGTCCGCCCGTGGCGTCACTGTGCTGGGCCCCCCAGCAGGCCTCGAAAGTGGCGACAGTTTCACAGATCGCAGCCCCCCAGGGATGGCGAGGTCTAATTTGGGTCCGCCCGTGGCGTCACTGTGCTGGGCCCCCCAGCAAGCCTCGAAAGTGGCGACAGTTTCACAGATCGCAGCCCCCCGCAAGCAAGACAGGAGGAGGCAAGAGGGAGACGGGACGGGAAGGAGGAAGTGGAGACCACACTGCCCCATTCAAAACGAATACCCAACCAAGGAGGGTTGGGAAAAAATGCAATCCCCCCCCGAAAGTTGCACGAAGTGTAATTCGGAAGACGCCAGCCCGTCGGGTTTGGCAGTGTTCGTGTAAGACGGCGGCCAGCTGGGGGAGGAGGAGGCGGAGGATGGGGGAGGCGGAGGGGGAGGAGGAGGGGGAGGAGGAGGAGGAGGAGGAGGAGGAGGAGGAGGAGGAGGGAGGAGGAGGAGGAGGAGAGGGAGGCGGACCCAGATAGAAGAGCGCGCCGAGGTTCGGGTGACGGACGTGGTGGGCGGTGGGAAAATTGGAGAGGAGGAGGAGGAGGAGGGAGGAGGAGGAGGAGGAGGAGGAGGAGGAGGAGGAGGAGGAGGAGGGGAGGAGGAGGAGGAGGAGGAGGAGGAGGATGGGGAAACGGAGGAGGAGGATCACGAGGAGGAGGAGGGAAGAGGATGATGATGATGATGATGATGATGATGATGATGATGATGATGATGATGATGGAGGAGGAGGAGGAGGAGGAGGAGGAACAATGGAGGAGGAGGAGAAAACCGAGGAGGAGGAGGAGGAACGGAACGGAAGGACCCGCGGGGGAGTACGATGATGATGATGATGATGATGATGATGATGATGATGATGATGATGATGATGATGATGATGATGATGATGATGACGATGATGACTATGAGGAGGATGAGGAGGACGAGGAAGAGGAGGAGGCAAAAGGAAGAAGAGGAGGAGGGAGAGGGGCGGGAATAAATGGAGGCGAAAGGGAGGGCGATGGCTCCGGGAGCTGGGCGGCCAAAGGGGGGAAGGGAGGGGGGGGCTTCAAGCCCCCCCTTTTGCACCAAGGGAGGGAGGGGGGGGGGCTTCCAAAGCCCCCCCCTTTCAAAGCGGGGGTGTGGCTCACCCCAGCTCCATTAAAAGGAGGGAGGGGGGGGGGTAGCTTGGAAGCCCCCTCCCCCCTTTCCGGCCAGGAAAAGGGAGGGGGGGGGGGTAGCTTCCGAAGCCCCCGCCCTTTCAAAGGGGGGGGGGTGGCTCACCCCGGCTCAACTAGAGGGAGGGAGGGGGGGGTAGCTTGGAAGCCCCCCCCCCTTTCCGAACCACGAAAAGCCCCCCCCCCCTTTAGCAAGGAAGGGGGAGAGGGGTAGCTTCAAGCTGGGGCCCCCCTTTTAGTCTATCGGGCCCCACGCGCGCGCTCTATCACAGCATGTCCTACTCGATGCCCTATTCGATTAATGGTGAAGAACAGCGCCCCTAGTCCCTTGTCATCCCGCCCTTCTTGGACGCCACCGACGAAGCTCTTGTCTGCAACCCTGGCTCTAAGCAAACTGTGATCTCTTGGGTGGGCAATTTTTACTTCCGCTGGCTTCCGCTGCCCTTCCGCTGGCGGGGGCGCCGTCGTTTTACACTCGTCGGCCTTCCGCTGGCCCACCAGGACCCCGTTGAACAGAGCGTGAGAGAGCCTATGCCGACTCAGGTTTCACTACACAATCGACGAGGCAGCATCGACGCATGAGCGGAGCGAGTGGCTCTGAGAATGCCCCCAGGAAGTGATGGCAACCCCAGGGATCCGTCGTCTCGAATTTTGCGAGACACGAACCCCCGACCTCTGAACCACTTCCCTGGGACCGGTTTCTCATCCCGAGTAGTTCTGGAGGCCCCGTAAGTGCCCCGAGAGGCCGAAGACTATGCAAAACATCCATCTCGATTCTTTCGAGACGCCGGCTGTCTGGGACCCCTTCGATCCCTCGTTGACGAGGCCCTTTCTGGAAAGCTCCAGGTCGAGCCAGGCTCGGTCCACAGGCGGCAATATGCGAGCCATACCACCACTAACCATCGATTCTCCTGAATCGATGGGAGGCGGGGGTAGGTTTCGGATTTCGCCACGTGCTCGACGAGTTCCGAACCCTACCCACCGCCGCCCATCGAGTTGCCTGGATTGTGAAATCGGCGAGGGTGCGGTCAACGTGCTCGAAGGGAACGATGCAGAAGGACCGAGGGGAATCCTTCTGGCCACGGCGAGCCTCGGCCACGAATAGGCTCCCCGACCTAGACCTGGGGAACGGCCCGAAACACAGGCCTCCTCCTCCTCCTCCTCCTCCTCCTCCTCCCCCTCCTCCTCCTCCCCCTCCTCCTCCTCCTCCTCCACCTCCTCCTCCTCCTCCTCCTCCTAGCCCTTCCCGAACCTAAAGCGGTCCTCTCCTGCTTCGGACGCGCGCTGCAGGCAAGCTGCGGCGGCTAGCGAGGCCGGCACAGCCAAGTGTCAAATGTGGTGCGGAGATGCTGAGCAAAACCGTCATCTCCTTTCGGGGGAAAGCCGCCACCGAGGCACATGTGACATCGAAGGCGAGAACACAAACATCTGGGGACGAGAGCCCACCACCCAAATAGCCACACGCGACTGCTCAAATACGCGTCTTGACTGCAGGGTTCGGATTTGCACGCCCGAAATGGGTACAGAAAAAGTGGGTACGGTGCCAAACAGAACATGTTGTCCAACACCGGCAATGGCCGCTGTTGGGCAAGCGACCGTGTGTCTCAGATGGACGGTCTTCGTACCCACCCTTTCCGCACCCATACAAGACTGTTCCTTTAATTCCCTCCCATTTCGTACCCACCCTTTCTCCCACCCTTTACCGGTGCTTCAGCGCAGATCCAAGAAAACCACGCGGGACATCGAAAGCTTATGATGTTTATAGCGTGTGCTTTCCTCCTTCTTCGAACCCTTTCCGATCGCACCGATGCAGGGCCCGGAGAGCTCGCCGCCGAGCCCACAGGGGGGCCCGGGCGGTCGCACGGGGCGGTGCCCGCACGCCCCCCCCCCCCTCCCTGCACAGGGCGGGGCACCCCCGCCCCCAAGCGGCAGGGCCGCGGCAGTGCCGCGGCCCGCGGCCCCGTAGGGGCCACTCCCGGGGGTTCGTCCGCGCGGGAGCCCGCGGGCGAGCCGGGGGGGGGGGAAGCGAGGAGGAGCGGGCCCTCTCAGAAGGCGGAGAGGCTTCGCAGAAGCCCTGCGGCCCCTTCGGGCCTTCTGAGACGGGTTTTCGTACCTTCGGCGAAGGCCTAGAAACCTTCTCAGAAGGCCCGAGGCCTTCCGAGCCTCATTAGAAGGCTCGCCCCTTCACACTTCACCCCCCCCCGGCCGGCCGCCGAAAATCCCCAAGGACATCCTTGAGGCACGAAATATCAAGACGGGAGGCACTTCGCTATTTTCGGCCCCTTAGGGCCCATGCCCGGCCTCCAGGAGCCGAAAATAGCGAAGCCCCTCCCGTCAACATGTGTCTCAGGATGGCAAATCGGTCCTGGGGAAGGGGTCGAGTCCTCTGGGGTTTGGGTCCGCGGCCCCCTGGGCCGTGACCCCGCGTTTCTCCGCGGATGCCGCGCGCGGAACGTATCCGTGCGACCGCGTATCCGCGGGATCGCGCCCTGGAATCCAGACCGCGAGGGCGTGGACATAGATACGTTCGCCGGGCGTGGGGAGCGATGAGGGGCCGCGAAGCCCGATAGAGGGTCCGCTCGGCCAGACTGAGCATGATGGAGTTTATCAACATCTTAAGCCAAGGTGGGCTGGATTCGGCGGAGCTCCTGACCGCTGAACTTGTCCTGGTCCGATCTAATCTGGCGTAATTTGTTGACGAAGTCCGGCCGAGTGGTCGGATCCAAGGATGCACCTTACAGATTGCCTGGTCTTCCAACGCCTTGGGACAAATGGTGGCGAGGGCATTTGCTCTCTGTTCTCGACTTCTGGGGGCGGCGTTCAGGCCCAGGGACCATCAGAACACGACCCAAAGACGATACAACGACTCCGGAGAGGGGCCGAGCGGTCCCGGGGGGCCCCTGCAACGAAAGGTCAAGCCGCAGGATGTCCGGGGAGCGAAGAGGGGCTCCTCCTTGCTGCGACCAGCAAGAATTATTATCACTGCGACTGCACCGGCTGCGCCCTCGTGGATTCGTCCCAGGACGCGATGGTCGCTGCGCTCTCGTACCGTCCAGTGGGGAAGAACCACTCTCTGCCCCAAACCGCGAAGCCGGATTTTCATCGCGCCCTGGCACCTTCTCGACACCCAGAAGCCCGAATCCAACCTGAGCTCCAAGGGAAGAAAAACATGGCATGAGGAATGCTGGCGGGGATGTGGAGAATGTGGAGGATGAGGGGGGGGGGGGGACGGGGGGGGGGCAGGGGGGCAAAGTGCGGGAGGGGGGAGGGAGAGAGACGGGATCCTCGAAGGCTCCATCCTCAAACCTTCGATGACGAACGGACAACACACCCCCATACCCAATGGCCCATAGGGAGGTCGGATGGAGGAGGACTGGCTATGGGTATGGCTGCGGGTTGTCAGGACCAAAGGGAGGCTCCCGTTCGAGCGTGGGCCCCCATTTGGCAACACGCACCCATAGCTCTCTCCGTCCCCCCTAGGGGTATGGGTCTATGTTGTTTGTTCGTCTTTCGGCTCGCGAGCCCCAGTCCCTCCCCAGGATCAATCAACATCGGGTCGGGGAACCAGATCGGATCAGAATGTGCGTCAGATCGGGCTGCAATACTCGAATCTGATCGTTCGGGCCAGGATGCACGACAGCGCAAGTGCGAGCACCCTGCGGCACCGGATCGTCGCAATACCGGAGTCGAATCAGACCGATCGAATCGAAGTGGACCCTCCTGGAGCCGACCAGGGGGTCTGAACTGCATCGGGGCCGAGCACAGCTGCCAAAAAGGGTGAGAGGTCAGACCCGCTCCAACTCTGTCCCCGGGCCCCTCCCAGGATCCATCTGGGTATGCTTTCCATCCTGGATCCATGTTTGACGGCCACGGGGCCCGAAAGGGCAAAACACCCTGGCACCTCGGACCTGGCATCCCCTCCTGCCGACCGGAACCGGCGCTAGGCCACCTCAAACCCCCAGCGGACTCCCAGGCAGCCGCTCTCCGGCCCAGGCCGCGGCGGGCGCAGCGCGAGATCTCTTCGAGCCCCCATGCGGGGTGCTCAAAGACTCGGACCGATAGCGGGTCGAGATGGGCCCTGCGCTCCCTCACTCCGTTGGGCGTCCAAGAGGGGGGCGTCCAGGAGGGGGTTCGCAGATCGTGGCCCGAGGCACGTGCGCGGCTCAGGGCGCGGCCAAGGGACGTGTTGAAGCAAGAGCAGAGGCGCCACGAGATCTGGCGAGACAGCACGGCCCCCGCCATGATCTCTTCCCCCCAGTCATCGCCACCATCTTGACCACCCCGTTCGGTGCAACTTATGGGGCCTCCCACTCAATCTTGCTGGCTCTTGCGAATCGACGCTGATCGACGCTAAGTCGACGCTAATCGCGGTGAGTAGACGCTGAATCGGCACCATCTCATTGACCACCAACGCTAGTCGACGCCAATGTGTCTGAATATGAAGCCACGAGGTTATGCAAGGCTCCCAGGATTTTTTACCGAAGCCCCTGTTGCCCTCCCTCCCTTTGGTTCTGGGCACAAGAGGTCTTTCGTGATGGGGTCGCGAAAAATACCATATTTCATCCTGTGGCGCATGGCGCGTGGCAGCCGCGTGCTGATATTGTTCGGCGGCAAGGGGGAGAAGTGAGAAGGAAAATGCCCTCTCAGAAGGCGGTGGGGCTTTTCAGAAGCCCTTCGGCCGTCTGAGAGCTTTCCTGTCTTCGGGGAAGGCTGAGAAAACTTCTCAGCGGGACGGGGGACTTCCGAGCCTTCTGAGAAGGCCCGCTCACGTCCCCCCTAGGTGCGCCGCCAGACCTTTACGAAGGAACCATTGGACGGTGGGGGGCATTGGACGAGGACCCCTTAGATAAGGACGCCATGGTCTGGATGCCAGCGGAACACCAATCGTGGATTAGCCATGGATCTCACCGCCGCCTTCATCAGATAAGAAACCATCCATGGTCTGACGCCTCCTGGGCACATTCCTTGATCAGCGCCGCCCGCGGTTGGCCCGAATCCGATCCCTCCCGTACATGGACATTGTATTCGAACCCTGTGGCCCAGATGCCCCCCCCCCCCGACCCCCCGACACTGATTGCGTGTCGAGGTCCCCTTTTGATGGCGTGCGAGGCTCCGAACCTGCTGCCCATCGGCTGTCCTTCTCGTACTTCAGCGTGCGCATCTTCAGCTCGTGCCGGCGCCCCGCCCGCTCGACCTTCCTGACCGCGGCGGCCTGCCGCGGCGCGGCCGGTTCCCAGCCCCCCCCCCGCTGTGCGGGGCGGGCGGCGGGGGGCAGGGAGGCGGGAGGCTCAGACGAGTCAGAACGAACTCTCAGGGGTGCGCGACAAGGGTGCCAGCCAGCCGCTTGGGCGCCCACGTTGAAGCCTTCTCGAGCGCGGCGGGCAAGCAGTCAAGGATTGACCACAGAGGCACAGCTGCAAGGGTGCCCTTGGGAAGGTTACCCATCCTTACCATGGGTTTCGACTGCACGGAGGGGGCATTGGATAAGGAACCGTTGGCAGAGGAATCCAGGAATAGGTCGCAGTTTTTGATTCCTTGTCTCGCCGATCGGCGCGGGCCCCCGCACCTCCCTCCCCCTCCCCTGGACAAGATTTTGGCTGCGTTGGCCGGCTGCTTTTGGCGGCTGCTTTTGGCGACTGGTCAGGACCCCGCCTCCAAGTCTGTTTGCGCGACTGGTAAGGGCAGATCGACTAAGCACCGGCCCGGACCCAGACCGCCCCTGCCCCACCCTTCGGCTAAATGTTGAATACCAGAATGAGAAAACGTGTACGAGCTCGAAGCCAGTTGAACTCGAATCGTGGACTGCCAATGGATATCACCACCGCTAAGGAAACATCCAGGGTCTGCAGCCTCCTGGGCGGGGACTTCGTTCGAGATAAAGACAGTCAGCATCGAATTGGGAGATCAGATCGGATCGAGATCGAATCGGACCGCATCGGCACGGCGCTGGAATCGAGTCGAATCGGCGCTGGGATGCACAACAGCGCCATGACACATCGGGCCGCTTCGGATCGCCCGAAAATCGGAACCAAATCGAATCGGGCCTGCGGGAGCCGATGCGAATCAGATCGATCGGGTCGAGATGGATCCTGCTCGAGGCCAGAACTCCTGTGATCGGTTTCGGGAATCCTGAGCCTGAAGAGAAAAGGCTGTTTCGCTTCCGCCAGCGCTGGCGGAGGCGACTTCGCCTCATTTCCGCCGCCTTCCGCCAGCTCCCGCGGAGGAAAATACGGCAACTCCCTCGAGCCCCTTGTGGAACACAGGCGCCGAGTCCACGCGGAACTCTCGCATCGGTGCTGGACCTCCCTGGCGCCGCCTCCGTCGCCGCTCCCTGTGCGCTCCAGGCGCCAGGGAGGGGGCCCATCGCCGATCCAAAAAGTACGGGCGGACCTCCAGACGTTTACTGCTGTGCCGTTGCTCCCTCGATTCTGCACACCACCCGCGTGCAGGCCCGTCGGGGGTTCGAGGACACCTCTCCGCGAGGCGGTGGACGCGAAGCAGCTGCGGCCTCGAGCCTCCGGGGGGCCCTGCGGGAGGGGAGGGCGCAGCTGTCAGGACACGTGCCAGAAGGCGGCGCGCAAACGTGAGCAACAGCTTCCGGAGGCCCGCGGGGATTTCTCGGGCAGGCGCTCGTTTCGGGAAGAGGGACCGCCGTGGGCTTCCGCACTCGACCTCTGCACCGGTGCGCTCTGGGGCCAGATCCGCATCCTAGCAGCCCAGGCATCACAGCCGCCTCGCCGTGGCCACCCAGTTCATCAGCCTCTCACTGAACTCACCACACGCACACCGTGCTCTCCCCTTCCCACCCACCCCCTGGGCAGCGCCTCCAGCGCCGAGTCCGGCGCGCGCCACGCGCTCGAGGAGGAGCATGGGGATCCGCCCTCCCCCTTCCCTATCCCCCTCCCCACGCCCCCCCCCCCGCCTGGCCAGAGGGGGCGGGGGAAGGAGGAGCGGGATGACGATGGGACATCAAGGAGCAGGGCGTGGAGGAGGGGGCCGCAGGGGCAGGAGAGACGGAGGCACGAGGACGAAATGGGGGAGGCCCCCCCCAACAGCCAGGCAGGGTTGGAATCGCGCCTGCCTTCTGCTTCTCCTCCGCCAGCGCCGCGTTGCGCTCCAGCTTCATCTTGACCTGTGCGGATGGAGGACTGGCTGTGGGAGACCGCGGCAGCGCCCCCCTCACGTTTCTCGTAAGAGCGGCATTCGACAACGAAGCCCGCTGCATCTGGTAGCGCGCTGACAGGAAGCGCGAGGCGGCACGCAACAGCTGGGCACAGCGCGAGAAGCAAGGTCGGCAGCGCGGGTAAGGAAAGGTGTCCGGCCCACGTGGGCTTCCAGTGGCGGTGCGTGCTGCCTCCTCGTGCTCCTCCTCGCCTCCGCCTTCCTCGTTTTCGGGCCTTCGGGGGTCCCACCCTGGCCGCCATGGCTCGGCCGCAGCTGAACAAACTGGCCAGGAGAAACCCTGGGAGGGGCCGATACTGTTGAGAGGATGTTGCTCGGGGGTGCGGGGTGGGGGGGCTGGCGCTCGCCATCCCTTCCTCCGCTGGGGTAACGGCTGGCGTCCTGCCCTGAGACGCCGGAGCCGAGAAGAAGCGACTCTGTGGAGATAGCTCCATTGCCGCGTGATGCGTGGAAGTGGGCTGGCAGGACAAGCTGACCTTGGTAGCTTACAGTAGGAGCTCGACCACAAGGAACCCTGAGGCGAGCAAGGTGCTTCTTGGCACGGGTCTCCACTGCAGCGCGTCCCTGGGGCCAAGGCGCCTGGGTCGAGGGGCCCACCGGGGCCTCGAGCGCTCTGCCGGCGGCGCCCGCGCAGAGCGCGACGGAGCGTCGGCGCATGCCAGTCGTTTTCCTGTGAGGTGGCCTTCTTCATGGGACGCACAGGGACATACTAGCACTGGATGTCCTCCTTGAACATATGGTATACCCATCTTCTAATCTATTGTTTCCCGAGCGATGCGGCCAGAAAGCGCCCGCCACGACGCATATACTATGAGATCTCTCGGTGCGCGCCCCGGGGGGGGGCGCGCACACATAGAATTCTTATGTTGGGGTGATGCCGATCCTCATGGAGGAGCGAAAATGCTCCCTCTGTATTCCAGGCTCGGTCAGGGTTCTCTGCCGGGGCCCCACAGAAGCCCGCTTGGTCACCCGAGCCCGTCTCGCGGAAGCCCGAGGGGGCAACGAGCTCCTTCCGAACTCAGCGCCTGGCGTACCTTTTGCTCCGGCGGGCGGTCCGACTGTAGCGCCACCAACCCAAGGGACTACCCTGACATCCGCCGATCTGATACTTTCAGTCCGCGGCCACCAGAGATCCCGAGCGGCTCCCTGGGGGTAGTCTTTCGTCCTGGATTCACTTTTGACAATCACGGGGCCAGAAGGAAAGGCCCCAGGGGCCGACATTTACGAAAAAACAGCCGGCTGACAAAATCATGCCGTCGGACCTCTGGGGGGGCAGAGTCTGCAGGCTTTCGGAATCTCGCCTGATACGACCGAGCTGTGCACATGGGCAGGCCGCTGCTCGTGTGGTGTGCCTCACGCTCTGTACGTCTCGCAACACCCTCCAGCCTCTAGGCTTAGGTCCTACCCAAACGACTATTATCAGGGGGGGGGAGAGGGAGGGAGGAAGAACCCCCGCCTCCTCGAACATGAAAAAGCATGGCGGAAGGTTTTGACAATTTCTCGGCCTCCACGGGCCCTCACTGGGTCCCTGGCCCGGCAAAACACGACTCAGGATGAAGAACAGGTCCCGGGGGGAGTGGTCCAGACCTCTGGAGATCCAGCCGCACTGCGAACCCTGCTGAGCCCTCATATGCTGGCCGTCTTGCTTCGGCTGCGACGGACGCATCATGATGCATCCCTGGGAGGGGCAGGACCATCTCGGGCACCACGGCGCCCTCGGCAACGGTGTCCTGCGGCCGCGACAAGATAAATCATTGTCGGAGGGGGCACCGGATGCGGATACGTGTAAGAGGGTCGTACATGCGCCCCTTGCTAGCAGCCCAGAGATCCAAGAATGATGACCCCCAGTGTGGATCCGGGAGATCTGGCTGCAATTTTGAGAAAGGAACTTTCGTTGCACGTAGACTGACCGGTGACAGTGAAGGGGCTGAACGGTGTTGCAACTGTTGCTGGCTGCCGTGGCCGAAATGGGGTTCAGCGGAGCGCATTCGTGTGTCAGTCCTGCTGATGACTTCGTCGCCCCGCGACAGAGCCGCGATCCGTGCCGAGAAGCATTCGCGATGCGCCCAACAACGCACCCGCGCCACGCCCCATGACCCACCTGTGACCGGCCTTGCTACCCATCCGCGACCTGCCTGGGCCCCGCGCCTCAATTACTCTTATCTGCAACTTCTGAAGGCCCATGCAGTCATTCGCAGCATGGCACCTTTCGAAACGAGACTACAACCCCTAGGGCCTTGAGCCCAACACTCGCTGACTGTTTGTTATAAATAAGCCCTTGGACTCCTGACATTCGAAACGAGACTACAACCCCTAGGGCCTTGAGCCCAACACTCGCTGACTGTTTGTTATAAGCCCTTGGACTCCTGACATTCGAGACGAGAATGTACGCAAAAACGACGCTGATGCTGAGGAGATCTGTGATGCTCGCTTCCGACACACATACGCACAGTGGCGGAATGTGCGACAGCGCAACTGGATATATGATTGAGTCGGGAAGTACTTGCATTGTTGCAAGTTCAGACATGCGTGGCCTTATGTAGTTCCAGTGCACGCTCACACGCTTCGCGGACTCAGAAAAGTCGCATCAATCACAGATAAAGGCCTTCTAGGCATGCATTCTAAGGAAAGGCCCAAAAACAACTATGGTGAACTATGGTGGCATGGTGTGCTTGGGCTTTCCAAATTTTCCGGGTATTGTGCCGGAACCCCTTTCGCTCAATGATGCAGCTATATCGCGCGCGCTGCCCATCGCCATGCCCCACAAGGTATTGACAATGATCCCTCGCAGCCCGCCGTTAAAAGCCTCCACAATATGTCCCCACGGCAACATGCGCGCGAAATCCTTGGTGATGAGGTAGCGGTCCGCCATGACCTTGGCACTTTCGTGACATTTCACGCGCAGCATGCGGGTCATGCCACACAGCGGTGCTGCACGAGGAAAACTGAGGCACACTGGTTGGAGTACTTTTTCCTTCGCTACACTCACGCCACACGGGATAAACGTTCGGTGGCAACACATGGGAGCCTCCCATGCCATCTTACTGACACTTGCCAATCGACACCGGCCGACGCTAATCGACGCTGAGTCGACGCTAATGGACGCTAAATCGGCGCTTTCTCATCGATTACCGGGCGCTCGCGCACGCTAATGCACTCTGCAGATAGAATTTCGAGGATACACGAGGCTCCCATGATGTGCCACCGAATAAACGAGAGCGTGCATAGTCGAATTTGATTGATACCCGCACCCTCGCAACCTATCTTCATCGGGTATCTGATCTTTCGGTCAGCCGTGTTCGCTCACAGTCTGTCCCGCGGCCACCGACCCGCTGGGGTATTCATCGGGGCACGTCCTCGCGCCGTCGGCTCCACAAGACAGCTGTGTTCGCACGGGCTTGCTGTCTGTTCAGCGGATACAGGGACACACTCCCTCGCACCCCCCACTCCTCCTCCCTTCACGTCTCCCGCGCCTCCAGATGCTTGCACAACTCCTGTGGAGCGTCAGCAACAGCGAACGGCACCATCACGCCTCTTCGCCACATCTCACCCCCGACATCTCCGCAGCTCGTGCGAGTTGCCCAGGGCGCTTGCACGAGACAACGAACAAAGCGCACTTTCTTAAGTGGCGAGACCATTGCATCACGTTCCATGCCCTCACACCCCTAGGCTGCAATGTGCTGTCCTTGGCGGCAGTTATGATCTAGCCAGAGAAACAAATGGGCCAAATTTAGGTGGCTCCTTGAAGAACCGACGTGGCTCATGCACATGCTCACTAATGTTACCCGGACAGCTCGACGTGCCAGAGCGACAAACATTACTAAAGGGATGCGGGAAAGATAAAAGATTGAGAGTAGGGCACGGGAGGGCATCAGGATACCAGGCATGGTGGCAATGTCGCATCCAACCCGCGGGGCAGGCCCTCAGGGGCACGGGCTGGGTACCCCTCCCCCGTCACGGGGCGTGGGATGAAGGACAAGGGGCGGCGACAGCTGGAGATGATGCGAATGATGGGGGAGGAAATTAATATGAAGAGTATACGGGTGAATAGGTGGTGACAAGGAGTGAGTGAGGCAAGGGGACACAAAAGCGGGAACGGAGAAGGAAAGGACAAATCATCATGATGCAGAGAAGGCAATGGAGGAGCACACAAGGGGCATGGAGTGCAGGAAGGGATTTGGCTGGGTTCAAAGGGTCCAGAAGGCTCAGGCCGACTTGTCCCAGCGTGCGAAGAAGAGGAATGGATCGGGCTGGGCCGGCATCAAGAGAGGAATATGATACATAAGAGCAGGAGTCGCAACCGCAACGCCGTGCATGCTAAGCCCGCAACCAACACGGCCGATGTTCCGCTGTACACGGCTGCCCAAAAATTCCGCACCTGCTTGGCTTGAGTCGCAATGGCAGCGAACCCTTCGAATCGGCAAATCTGCGTGTATGTATGTTACATGCTGATATAATCTTGCCTGGTTTAGACGGCAAGCGTCCCGACATAATTGAAGTGGGATGTTTCGCAATAGTCGCCCCTTCAACGTGATGCGAGGGCACAACCTTCGCCAAGAGCAGCGAATCGCTCTATGAGACACTTACGGGGAAGACTCTTAAAGCCAATGGTCATGCTCTGATGTGCCGCTGGATTCGCCAGGGAACTTCAGCTAGAAAACCCCTCCCCCTCACTGTCCTTCTTCCCTTCCCCCCCTCTCCCTCCCGCTCTCCCGCATCCGCCTCCTCCAGCTCCTCCTCATCCTCCGCCTGCTCCGACTCTGCCCTTCCTCCACTTGCTCCTCTGCCCTCCGCCTGAAGTCGAACCCCCCCGACCTCTCCAGGGGCGAAGGTGAACATGATTCCGAAGCACATCAAGCCTTGGCGACGAACATGTTTGTAGAAGACTAGAGAGGCCCTCAAAACGTTCAACTCTCGATCGTCAATCCTTTGATTGTGCTGTTAGTTTCTCACCAACTGTGCCAGGTCTTGAGCATACCGCGTGGCATACTTGGTTGAAGGAGTGGTCAACTACCAGTAGTTGCTACACGCTGGCAGAGCATGCATATGGTGACTGCTTGGCGAATGCGAAGCGCTCCAACTCTTAGCTCGCAACCTTGGCTTCCGCTACGGCAACAAACTCTGCCCTGGACGTTATGACCTGTCATCAGTTCCTGCCCTGGATCTGCTTGGGGCAGTCTGCTTGCAGAGCTACGCTATCGTCAGCGCTGTTGTGCTGGACGATCTGAACGAGCTGTTTCACCTGAAACTTGTGCTCACGGTTGCGAGTCTAACCTAATATGTCTAGTCGTATGAATGATCCTGGTTTGGTGTTACTGGGAGTCATGTGTCAAGAAGTCACTTGATCCCCCACCGTTTGTTCAGTTCCCGCCTCATGCTCCGAACGTCCCCCTCCTAATCATTCACATATTATCGATCCCCCTCCAGCTGGACCTTTTCCTTCTTTTCAACCCCTCAACGTCTTTCCTCCTCCTCACCCCCTCCCCCTCCTGCTGTGTCTCATCCTCCTCAGTCCACTCCTGTGCCCATCATTCGTCCCATCTGCCAATGCTCCGTCCCAACCGTCCATCTGCCATCCGCCGTCCTCGTCCTGCCCACCTCTGCCCAACCTCCGCCCATTCCTCCTCGGTCCTCGTCTCCTCGTCTCCTCGCCTCCTCCTCCTCCTCCTCCTCCTCCTCCTCCTCCTCCTCCTCCTCCTCCTCCCCCTCCCCCTCCTCAAACTCCTCCGTCTGGTCCTCCTCCCCTTCTCCCATGCCCAAACAATTCGCCAACGTCGAACTCCTGTTTCTCCCCCTCATCCCTCTGGTCCATTCTACTCCGTGCGTCCGCCTCTTCTGGCCGCGCAATTTTTCTGGCCCTGGAGCAACACGAACCGAACGCATGGGTACTCTTGGGGGCATCGTCGCGAGCATTGCGTCTGCTCGCGGGTGCCTGCCCCGGCGCCCGCGACCCCATGGGATCCGAATATCCTGGCGCGCAGCACCCAGCGCTGGACTCTTAACACGTCCTGCACAGACCCAGAGGCCACCCCCGCGGGGGAACGGTTGCCAGAGTATGGTCGTTGACCGTCGGCGCGTATGCGTCCTGTCGGCGCTGCGAAGCAGGAACGGAGGCACGACTTCCGAAAGGATTCACCAGCACCAATGCCTGACTCCCCGCTGCAGTACATGCATCCGTCTTGCAGGGGAGGGCGGGGAAGGGAGGCGGCGTCGTGCTGGGGGGGAGGATGCTTGCGGTGTGCAGCTGCTGGGCCATCGAAAGAGCTGTACCAGCCAAGCGCAAGCACAGACCATGGGATATGCTGAAGGAATGGGCAGCAGGGCAGGAGTGATGGCACGGTGTAGGACGCAATCATAAGTCAGTAGACAGCGACAGCGCAGGAGGGCGTGCTAATGATAGATGATGCAGAATGACACCTCTGATAGTTGACACGAATTGGCGGACAACGCGCAAGCGCACGCTGCGACACAAGGGGATAGCAACGCGGACGAACGATGCACAGCACAGATCATGCTGAACAGCTGGAGCGCGCCCCAAACACATACCCCATACCTCATATGAAGACAAGCCTTATGCCGATGAGGACGGTTGGAGAGAAATTCGCATTTCAATGTGTACATCGATGTGGAGGCCGATCGTGGTTGGATTTGCACGTCAGTTTGCACAACATTCGATTGACATTGGACTCACAGTTCTATTGTACTTAGATGTGCATCACGCCTGTTGCCATTAGATGTGCCTTACGTTTAACAAATTGACTCTTAGACGTCTTTCGAAACGGTCAGAGCGTTGTTTGTTCCGTTTTGAACTTGGATTTTTTACATCCGTTTTCGGCTCCGTTTTGTTTCCGTTTTTATGAAAATCAGCATCGGTGTTTTTGTTGCAGACTCCGCTGCCGTTTTCGTGCATTTGCTTTCCGCGTTTTCGGCGTGCCATTGTTTTTCCCGTTTTCGTCTCTCCCTGAATTACCAATCGCGTCGCGCAGACGACCGGCGACCGAGGGGCCGCTCACATCTCTTACTTGTTGTCGGAGGAGGCGCCCAGGGCGGAAGAGGCGCTACCGTCTTCGAGGGGCAAACTCTTTCATGGCCGTCCTGGTCACGCTGTGCTTGATGTGTCATCCCGAGCCCACGGGCCCTGCGCACCCTTGACTGAGACGGCTGCGTCGGGGGGGATTGAGTCAGCCGCTTTTTCTGTTTTCAACTCCCCATGGCTCCCTCCCCCCGCCTGCTCCTTTTTTATCCGTTTTCCGTTTCGGGTACGTTGTCAGCTCTCGTGCAACCCGGCTCCCCGAACTCCCCCTTGCTGCCCCCTGCCCCCGACGCAGCGGTCTCGTCTAAGGGTGCCTGCCAGCAGGGCCCGTGGGCTCGGGATGGCGGCGGACACCAAGTAAAGCGTGACCAGGACGGCCATCAAAGAGTTTGCACGCCGCCTGAAAAGAAAGTCATTCCTCCATTCTGTATTCAGGAGTGGATGCGAGTAGACGGCAAAACTCATCAAGCGTACCATCAAGAAGCGTGCCATAAGCAAGCATGCGCCCCCGCAGCCCAATCCTGTCAACGCAGCCGAAACTCGGGCCACGGACTCGGGCAAATTGACAAGCAATCCGATGTTTTTTGTCGTTTCGGGGGCCTCGAAAGGTTCTTGAGGGCGCCGTTTTCAACTGCTGTTTGTTTTCCGTGTTCGCTCCCCCGCGGCGCCGTTTTTTTTTCGTTTCCAAGTCTCGTTTTTCTTCGTTTCCAATGTTCCAAGAGCGGAAAACGAAAACGAAAAAAATGCCCTGGCCGTTTTGAGAGAAAACTAAGGGTGGACTTACATTCTGATGTACGTTCATTGCGCACTTCGATTTGAATGTCGATCTGACTCTATGTTTACAACTTGGCTTCCATGCCAACTTGCAATTCGATGTGAGGTCTGACTGTCATTCTGACTTGCATTCGGACTTGTATTGTGCTTAGCATACCGCTTTACAATCTGGTTACAATTCGAGTTGCACGTCGCTTCGCAATTCGATTTCACTCCGCTTTGCATTCGGAATTGCCCCATTTCGGGTTGCATTCCGATGTGAATATCATTTGCGAGTGGATTGGGATTTCGATTTCCAACGGCAGCGGCACGACAACTGCGGGACAAACCGCGGGACAATCGTAGGACAAACCACACATCAACCAAAAAACAACCTACCGCACGTTCACGGAACAACCTACGGGACAACCCGAAGGACGACGAAGGGGCCACCACGAAACAATTGCGGCGAACCCCGCGGGATGGGAACACAACTTTTGCTCCCGACTGGGCCCTGCAACATTGGCCGACGCAGCATAGCCTTAGCGCAGCCTCGCCCGCACGCGCGACACGAACCGAAATCGGCACCAAATTCCTGGATGGGGCCACTTCGCTAATACCCCCCAACTTGCGTCTTTCATAGTCTTTCATAAAGGTGATCGCAGTTCAGGCGACACTTGCTGGTACGGTCTGAATGACACCTACCGCATGACCTGCTGGGCACAGGGTTTGCTTCTGGCCGTCCGAGGAGACAGTCCAAGAGCGTCAGTAGCAGCAGGCTCGAGTTGGGGACAATGAGTTGGGGACAACAACTGAACGCGCGTACAAGCCGCTGTGGGGCACTATCAGGAGAGTTCGGCACACGAAGAAAGTGAAGACAGATAGGAACTCACTGCGCAACGAAGAACATGCAAGGGTATGCAAGCAGAGGAATAATGCCCCGACTGGACAAAGAGCACAGCAATACTATTGTATGACTGGCCTATCCGATGGCGGCGATGGTCAGAGCACACGGTACATTGTAGACCCTGAGCGCGCACCACCGGCTTCAGTGACCCTGATTATAAGAATATGCGCGTGGGATTACGCAGATACTCAATACACATCAGCATGCTATGATGCACATCTGGGCGGATGATGACGAATGACGACGCACTCGTTTCCCACATGACATGCTAGCATCATGTGGGGTACGCTGCAAGCGAGACATTCCCCGTGCAATGACTCCATGTCAGCATCGATGTTTGCCCGTGCGAGAAGCGAGGGAAACGCCCATTCATTTGCGCCCCTCGAAGTATCGTGACAAGACGACCCTCCATTGAGTAGCGTATTCGCATGGACGCTCTATGCCTGCACGAGGATGTCAGCTTGTGGGAATATCGCAGCCCGTGATTGACAAAGGCCAGCGCGTGCGCGCCTGGAGCACGTGGCACTCCGATCGCGCAGGTGGAGCGCGTGCTTGGCGCATCCAGCGCACCCGGCGCGCCTGGGCTCCCCTGGGGGCACCCGGTGCACGTGGCGCTCCTGGCACTCGTGGCACACCTCGCGAGCGCCGCGCACGTGGCGTCTGCACTGGTGCCCAAAGTTTGTCCATCCGATGGCGACCTCGTGTGCGAAGTCTCGGGTGCTACTCATTTGTGCGCGGTGGGAGGACGGTCGGGGGTGAGCTAAACGCCTTGGCCCGAGAGCGTGCTGGGAACGGTCCGAAATTCGAGCTCATCTTGGACGCCGTCTGGAAGCCGTCTTTTTTTGGGGGGGGGCGCTGCTCAAGGCGGGGCTCGTGGGCCGATTAATTGGAGAGTCCTGCCGCACTTGTCATGGGCTGGGAGCTGCAGAAAGAGCATCGCGCAAGATTTGATCTCACAGTTTACTAGCACAGGTAGGAGAAGTGAGAAAGAAGGAAGGAGGTGGAGGAGGAGGAGGAAAGAATGTAAAGGGAGATCCTACAACAACAAAAATTACGCGCCGGGGAAACGCGTGACGGTGAACGATCTGGTGGTCAAGCGGATCGAAGGTCTGAAGGATGCTCTCGCACGTCGACGTTGGACCACTCATCCAACGAGACTTCGGAACTGGCGCGTCCACAAAGGCTGGACTGAAATCCTCTCGTCGTCCTCCTCCTCCTCCTCCTCCTCCTCCTCCTCCTCCTCCTCCTCCTCCTCCTCCTCCTCCTCTTCCTCCCCCTCCTCCTACTCCTTCTCTTCTCGTCCTCCTCATGGCGCTTCCAAGCCCAAAATCCCTGAGGACTACGAGCTCCCTTCGAAGTAAGACTTCAACCTGGTCACGTTGGCCGAGTCCCCTTCGAGATAAGAGACTACTTGGAGAGCTCCTCCATCGCGCGCCACTTCGGCGGCACTTTTACCGGCCAAGTTCTGCATCTGCGGGTCGGCGCGGGACTTCAAGAGTTCTGCGACCGCTGCGACATTTCCGAAGAACGCGGCGCTGTGCAGGGCGGAGCCGCCCTTGGTCACGCTGAAAAGCGCGGTGTCGGCGGTATTGACGGTCTCGGTCGCCGACAGACCCGACAACTCGGCGGGCTCCCCGCCAACCTCAGTGGTAAGCGTGGGACTGGCGCCAGCTGCCAGCATGTGCCGGACAAGGGAACCCTGCGCCACCGGGCTCACCGTCTGCAGCGCATTGTACCCAGTGAACTTGTTAACCTCATTCGGATCTGCCCTCTTGTCGATCAGGTACCTCACCTTGTCAGACTTTGTGAACATGGTTTAGATGCTCGTTCTGGGGACCTTCTTGGAGCCACTCGCTCCAATCGTGCGTCGAAGCTGCGTCGAACGTCCGTCGACCCGCGTCGAACCTGAGTCGAACTTGAGTCGAATCCTGAGTCGAACCTGAGTCGAACCAGAGTCGAACTTGAGTCGAACGTGGGTAGAACTGGAGTCGAACAAATCCATTCGGTTGGCCCCAGGAAGGTCCCCCAAACGAGCATCTAACATGGTGCCTCCAGGGCATTGGTGGCAGGCGCTCGCAAGAGGGGTGAATCCAAGATCATCCGCATCCTCGAGCGCCCCGCCCTCCTCGAGCAGCAGGGCGCACAGAGCCGGGTCGCGAGCCGCCCCGTTCGCGGCCCAGTTCAGAGGCGACCGGTTGAAACTGCAGGACTTCGTGTTCGCGTCGGCACGCATGGCCAAGAGGCCCTTCTGAGCATCGTTTAACCGACCCCTATCCCCATTGGCATGGCCTGGGAACCACTGGCCGATTTACCTCCATTGATGGGAATATGGGCTGTTTCCTTCGAGCTTCGATGCGCAGATCCCCAGCTGGGGTGGTGGGATGGTGGGGATGGGGATGGGTATGGGGATGGGGACGGGGATGGGGATCGGTTAAATGATACTGACCTTCGTCACGTCCACGGCCAGGGAAGAATCTGGGACGAACATGGCGATGATAGTCAGCGGAGTGTGCTCTGGCCACGCGCTGAACTCTATCTGGTGTCCTGTGGTCTTCCGGTCGACCCTCTCACCAGCAGCGAATATAGAACTCAAGATCGGCAAGTTCCCCTCCAAGGCAGCAAAATGGATCGGAGCCCAGCCGTAGGGCCCATCCGACCTTGGCTCCGAGAATTTGTAGTTCTCCAACCAGACGTCAATCGTTTCCACCCTCTCCTCATCACCACTAGCGTGTGCAAGCATCGCCTGGAGGAAACGGAACTCAAACAGGCGATTGTCGGCGAGAAATTTACCAGCCCGCCGACGCATGCATTTGGTCATGAAGCCACATACCTTCTTCCGATCCTCCTCGACTGAAAAATCGCCGTAGCGAGGCAAGCACTCGATCCACGCAAACGGAAACGTCTTCACCGCCAGCGAGCCCTGGGAGATCACGCACACGGGGCCTGCTTCTCTGCACGAGAAGGTGCGGGCCACCAACTCCGCGCGGCACCATCCGCGCTCGCTCCAGCTGTGCCGATTACAGAGGGTGCCGTTGTCCTTGTGCAAGAGTGGTGGTGCGAGCACGAAGAAGTGCGCGCAGTTTTCAACGTATGCAGGGATAGAGCTGACCGCGGCTCCTAGATCTTCGCAAACGGTGGCCGAGGCCCTCGCAGATGTGACCTGCGGGATGGCAAAGTAATCGTACCATATGTATGCGTCCGCAAGATTACGACCTTGGTCCCCTGCCAGATACGAGCCGATTTGAGGGAGTAACCAGATCGATGTCCTGCAATCGTACACGCGCATGCCCCCGATGATATTCTGGAGTGCGTCTTGCAAAACTGCAAATTGACGCTGGTCCGGATCGGGGTGCGCTCGGGCAAGCCACTGGTGAGAAACGAAAATCGCCTCCATGCCGAGACTGAAAACAGTAACCTTCCCTTTGGCAAGAAGTTCCTGATGATCCTCGACTTTCGGAAGCTCCAACGCATCGCTCACCTTCATCACAAACATTGGGTACAACATGGTCTGCTGATCGATTTTTATCGAGCCCTGGATGCCTCTGTACGTGTTTCCCACATGCTCCGCTTGGTCACAAAGGACGCTGCGACTCCCGCAGCAAAGGCTGCACCCGCGCATCTCCGCTGGCTGGCGCGGTGGGCCAGAAAGTCCAGAGCCCATCGATGATCGATCGAACACGAAGCAACGGGCTCTTGGGCTGAGCGAAGGCTGCACAGAAGCATGCTCTTCTCCGGCTTGAAGCAAAATGGCTACGGACCGTCTGGAAGCTGTGGGTCAGAGAAAAGCGTCGGATGCAGCTAGGCGGCGGAATGGCGGGGGCCTCTGGGAGGGGGAAAAGCGGGGCTGAAGCTCTGTAAGGAGTTCTCACCATCAAATCTCACGGCCCTCAGCCCTGTGGGCGGGCGGATTCAATTCAACGCCCCTGAGGGGGCAAACACCGCCGCCCCACTTTGTTCCGGAACACAGAGTTCTTTGCGGGGTGGGGTTCATGGCGACCGCAGAGGGTCCAGAAAGGCTTGGAAGGCGGCGCAAGAGGTAGGCAAGAGGCTCCAGAGACGACGACCATGCACATGCGAAGGCGGTGGGGGTGGAGTAGGACCAGGAGGGGAAGGGAGGGAGATGACTCAGATGACGATGATGATGCTGATGATGGTGATGATGGTGGTGATGATGATGCTGATGATAAAGCTGAAGATTAATATGATGCTGATGATGATAATGATGCTGATGGCGATGCTGGTAATGATGATGATGCTTATGCTTATGATGATGATGATTAATGATGATGATAATGATAATGATGATGATGATGATGATGATGATGATGTGGACGAGCAAGATGATGATAATGATGATGACGAGGACGACGACTACGATAATGGTGATGACGACGATTACGATGATGATGACGATGATGATGATTCTGACTATGATGATCATGATGATTATGATGATTATGGCGATGATGATGATGATGGTGATGATGGTGATGATGGTGCTGATGCTGATGATGCTGATGATGCTGATGATGCTGGTGCTGGTGCTGGTGCTGATGTTGCTGCTGCTGCTGCTGCTGATGATGATGATGATTATGATGATGATGATGATGATGATGATGATGATGATAATGATGATAATGATGATGATGATGATGATGATGATGATGATGATGATGATGATGATGATGATGATGATGATGATGCGGGGATCGAAGATGGCCCCCCCAGAGGGTCTCCGGAAATCCCATTGAACTTGCGTACCAGAAGGCGAGAAGGGGGTTCGGAGAGGGCCCCTGAGGGTAACAAAGATGCGGAGAAGGATCCAAGAAAGCGACTACAAGGCCCGAACAGGCTCGGAAGATGGCCCAAAAGGGCACCCGAAGCTGCCAGAAACGGCGGAGCGAACCGAAGAGGGGTACGTAGAGGCAGAAAGGAGCACTGCGACGAGTTTTTAGGGCCTCAGAAGGCTTTCCAGGGGCTCCACGGGCGCCGCGAAGACGGCCCAAGAAGGCTCCAAAAGGGCGGCCAGACGGCCGAAGATGGGTCCAGGAGACCTTCAGGACGACCCGGAAGGCCTTCTAGAGATTCCAACGTGGCCGGAGAGACCCCAAGAGTGGCGCAAGATGCTGCAAGAGAGCTCCAGGAGGCGCAAAGAGGAGGCCGAAACGGCGAAAATCATAGAACACCCCGGGTTTCTGACGGTTTTGTGCTTCTTCGGTTTTTCGGCATGTCTCGAAGAAGGCTTCGGAAGGGTCCCAGACGGCCCCGGGAAGCCCCAAGGAGGGGCCAAAGGAACCCAAGAGGGCTCCAATAGGCCCCGAAGACTGCCCAGGAGGGTTTCCAGAGAAGTCCCGAACGGCGCCTGGAGGCGTCCGGAAGTGCGCTGCTTGGATCCCAATTCGGCGGAATGAACAGGCCCTGGGAGGACCCCAGGAGGGGTTGCCAGGGTTCTGAGGAAGGGACTTGATACGAGGAGTGCGTGGGCAAGGGACCGGAGGGGAAGAAATTCTTGCAAATCATGCGGCAGGGATATCACACGCCGTACCCACTGGGGCATTGCGAAGACGAAGCCAGCGAGTATGCTGAAAACGTACGTTTTACGAAGGGAAAGGGCCGATGTTTGCCTCTTGAAGGCCCTCCCGGGGCCCTCTTCGGCCATCTTCAAGCTATCTCGGGCCCTCTGGGGCCTCGCTGAGGCTGTCTTGTGGGCCTCTTGGGCGTCCTGGGAACCCGGAAATCATGTTCCCGGAGAGGCTTCCGGGAACATGATTTCGAACGGGGCCCTCTTGGGCCTCCCTGAGGCCGTCTTGGGGGTCTCCTGGGCTGGCTTTGGGGCCTCTTGGGCCGTCTTGGGGGGGTCCGTCAGCCCCACTGGCCGACCCTTTTGGGCCGTCTTGGGCCCTCTTGGGTCTCTCTTGGGCTGTCTTGGGTCTTGGGGCTCCTTGGGGGCGTCTGGGGCACTGCGAAGACGAAGCCAGCGAGTATGCTGAAAACGTACGTTTTACGAAGGGAAAGGGCCGACGTTTGCCTCTTGAAGGCCCTCCCGGGGCCCTCTTCGGCCATCTTCAAGCTATCTCGGGCCCTCTGGGGCCTCGCTGAGGCTGTCTTGTGGGCCTCTTGGGCGTCCTGGGAACCCGGAAATCATGTTCCCGGAGAGGCTTCCGGGAACATGATTTCGAACGGGGCCCTCTTGGGCCTCCCTGAGGCCGTCTTGGGGGTCTCCTGGGCCGGCTTTGGGGCCTCTTGGGCCGTCTTGGGGGGGTCCGTCAGCCCCACTGGCCGACCCTTTTGGGCCGTCTTGGGCCCTCTTGGGTCTCTCTTGGGCTGTCTTGGGGCTCCGCGGGGGAGTCTGGGGGGGCACTGTGAAGACGAAGCCAGCGAGTATGCTGAAAATGTACGTTCTACGCAGGGAATTGGCCGATATTTGCCTCTTAAATGGCCTCTTGTGGCCCTCATCGGCCATCTTCAAGCCATCTCGGGCCCTCTGGGGCCTCGCTGAGGCTGTCCTGGGGCCCAGTAAGGGGCCCTGGGAGCCCGGAAGTCATGTTCCCGGAGAGGCTTCCGGCAACATGATTTCGAACGGGGCCCTCTTGGGCCTCCCTGAGGCCGTCTTGGGGGCCTCCTGGGCCGGCTTCGGGGCCTCTTGGGCCGTCTTGGGGGGGTCCGTCAGCCCCACAGGCCAACCCTTTAGGGCCGTCTGGGGCCCTCTTGGGTCTCTCTTGGGCTGTCTTGGGGCTCCTTGGGGGCGTCTGGGGCACTGCGAAGACGAAGCCAGCGAGTATGCTGAAATGTACGCTTTACGAAAGGAATGGGCCTATGTTTGCCTCTTGAAGGCCCTCCCGGGGCCCTCTTCGGCCATCTTCAAGCTATCTCGGGCCCTCTGGGGCCTCGCTGAGGCTGTCTTGTGGGCCTCTTGGGCGTCCTCGGACGGTGGAAATCATGTTCCCGGAGAGGCTTCCGGGAACATGATTTCGAACGGGGCCCTCTTGGGCCTCCCTGAGGCCGTCTTGGGGGCCTCCTGGGCCGGTTTTGGGGCCTCTTGGGCCGTCTTGGGAGGGTCCGTGAGCCCCACTGGCCGACCCTTTGGGGCCGTCTTGGGCCCTCTTGGGTCTCTCTTGGGCTGTCTTGGGGCTCCGCGGGGGAGTCTGGGGGGGCACTGCGAAGACGAAGCCAGCGAGTCTGCCGAAAATTTACATTTTACAAAGGAAATGGGCCGATGTGTTCCTCTTGAAGGCCCTCTTGGGGCCCTCACGGGCCCTCTTCGGCCGCTCTTGGGCGTCTTCGGGGCCTCTTCAAGCTTTGGTGACCATCTGTACGGCCCGCGTGGCCTGTCGTGGGCAATTTGGAAGCGGCCCGGGGCAGTCCCGGGGGGTCTGTGACCCCCTCAAAGTTCGGGGGGGCGGCCATGGGGGGTGACGGCGCCGATTTTGCCCCCCCCCCCCCCCCCCGGCCTACTCTTACTTATAATATATATATATATATATATATGTATATATATATATACATACATATATATATATATATATATATATATATACAAGACTGCATTGGCGCTTCGCGCCATGCGCCTTGTTCCGGACGCTTCCCTGGCAAAGCAATAAATCATCGCTTTCTTCAGCAGGGAGGACCTCGAGGCCTGGACGGGCGACCCGCCCATTTTGCCGATATCCCGGGTGCCTGCTGACACCGCTTTCGGACAATGCGCTGGCACGCTTGTGCGCAGGAGTGGAGAAATCATGCTGATTTTTTCGCGCGCGAAGGCCCTTTTAGGATGTACGGAGCGTTCCCATGACACGCCGAAGAAGTCACAGTAGCTCCGAACACATCGATTTTTGATCGCTTCCCGAATGCATGGAGGGCTCCAGGCACTCAGGAAATCTTTGATCGTCGAATTTCGAATATAGATCCATTGCCTGTCTCTCTCGATCGGGTAGCTACTGAAACCTCGAGCCTCAAACGTGGAACCAAGATCGTCGGGTCAGCTTGATGTATTTCGTAGGAGAACGCCGTCTGGTCGTTTTTGGTGCTCTTTTGTGCCGTCCTGGGGCACTCTTGGGCCGTCCTGGGGGCTTCTTGGGCCCCTCCAGAGGTCTTCTGAAGCCATCTGGGGCCCTCTTGCGGGCCTCCAGTGGCGTTCTTGGAGGTATCCCATGGCTTTCGTGGGTCTCTCTTGGGAGCCTTCTGGGGGCATCTTGGGCTTCTTGTGGGCAGTCTCGGGGCTCTCTGGGGCAGTCGTGGGGCCCCCTTGGGCCGCCTTCAGCCCCTCTAGGGGGCCTCCCGCGAGATTGGGGGCCCATTGGGCCGTCTTGGACGCTGCGACGACCCAAAAAGCGGATATGCACAACAAATGTATTTCCTGAGGGAATGTGACGATTTGGGCTTCTTCGGGGATCTCTTAACGGCCTCTTGGGGTGTCTTGGGGGCCTATTCGGCCGTCTTCAGACCATCGAGGTTCCTCTTGGAGCGCTCTTGCGCTGTCTTGGGTCTCTCCTGCGCCTCTCCGACGACCCCTCTAATCGCCTTCAGTCGGCTCGCAAGGCCCAGCGAGGCGCCCTGGGAGGCCCGGAAGGGCCACCGAACCTTTTCCAAGGGCGTCCAGGGGGCCGCCGAAACGTCCGAAAGGGCGTCCGGAGCGTCCCTGGGGGAAGGATCCGGTTTAGG